AAGAGCCTCCTTAGACATGTCTTTATGAATATGAAGCTTGTACATACCTCTATCATTGATAAAAAAATCCGCTCATTTGCTTAAGCCTTAATGGAGATATTCAATTTTTTGTCTTTGGTGCGTGACTTTTGGGCCACCCTATATATTCACAGAAAAATGTCCGTGAACGAGCGCTCCCTATAAAATCTCGTTCTTTAATTCGTTCTTCTGCTATGACCAATTCAGTATATTTTCGTCTAACTTGTAGAAATACCCAATTTTGATCTATCGATTTGCTCAAGTATCAACCACTTAATTGATTCTGGGATAGTGAAGTGAAACGCACGTGAGTAGAATTCGTTTCGATCATGTGTAAGTTGGCTTCGTACTAAAGACTTTCTCATAAAACAAATAACGAGAGAAGACATTTTGTCATGGCTGTCAGCCACGATAGATTCCGTCACGTTCTTTCTCTTTTCTCCTCTGATTCTTTTATTCTTTGCAATTTCTCACCAAGTTTATCATACATTCTTATGAGTTTTCTCTCTCGCTTCGTTTTTGTTGTTTGATATGTGCTTGATTTTTTACTACGCGATAAAGAGACATTCGATGGATTGTTTTGCATGAAGATAGGTTTTGGGGAATAAATGCTCACAATTCTATCGTTAAGGACCAGCGGTTTGCGTTCTAAACATTCTTGCGAGAGAAAATTCTTCCAGAAAGTGAATGAATTTTTCTTCTATTTTCTAGATAGTTGACATCAACAATAGAAAATGACTGCATCATTTGAATCTCTTTCCACCGAACCATTATTTGAAATCTTTGATTATTTATCTCCATTCGATTTATTTCGAATTTTCATCCATCTGAATAGTCGTCTAAATGACATTGTTCATTCATATCCACTTCGATTGGATTTTCGACCAATCGGTCGATCAAAATTCGATTTTATTTGTCGTCATCTTCAACCGAAACAAGTTATTTCATTGATTCTTTGCGATTAATATGTTCCTGATCGAATGACACTTTTCCTCGGTCATTTTCCACATTTTAAAGAACAATTTCTTCATCTTCAATCTGTAACATTAATCGAAGCTGGAATTAATACTTTCATCGATTTACCTTTATCTGTTTCATCATTATCAATTAGAAGTTTTGATACTGATAATTATTCAAAAACTTACATTAATGTAATATTATCTCAACAAACAAAAGTTTTAACTCATTTAAAAATTGATAATAAAGATTTACAATATCTTATTGATACAAGCTTTCCAGCTCTTACTCATTTGATTATTCTTGGAGGAGATTATTATGGCCGTGAATATATTGATGTGTGTTCACCATTGGAAAATATCGATATCCATTCAATAATTCAACAATGGCAATGTTTTCTCACTCATCTTTATCTTGTTATCGATAATAAAATTCGATATTCGACATTTAATCTTGATCGATTCTCTCATTGTCTTACGCGTCTTACATTACACTTTCATCAAGGTAATTAAGAAAACTAATGAAAAGTTGATCTTGATTTTTGATCTGATATTTTAGATATTCAAGTATCATTGGTATGTCTTGAACGATGTTTAATTAAATTGTCTCAACTGACAAATTTTACTTGTCAAGCAAATGGTTCATGGGATTTAATTGATGGTAAACAATGGGAAAAATTTATTTTAAAAACACAAATTCTTCGATTTAATTGCAAATTCGAATGCAACCTTATTGAAGAAATTTCATCTATACTCGAATCATTTCGTTCATCATTTTGGCTTAAAGAACGACATTGGTATGTTGGATGTTATCAAGATGAATCAAAGACAAGTACAATTATCTATTCAATACCATGATTTCGAATACGTACACTTAAGTATCCTTCAACTATATTTCCACATAGGACAACAGCACCACCAAATATTGAACAAAAGTTTTTTATTCAAGTACAATCGATTTTTTCTCTTGTGATATTTATAAATTAATTGCACCAGTCAATTATCGTTTCAATCAAGTTAAATCATTGACACTTTCAGGTTCATCATTATTATCATTGAATATTCTCTCATTAATTGTCGATCTTCAACAAATTCAACATCTTGATGTAGCTGATATTCATCTCTTATTACCTGATGAACTTGAAAATCTTATTACTCATACACCTCGTGTCACAAATTTATTAATGAAATTCGATCCGTTATTTATTATACCTTCACAAATTCATTATCTCCTATTGGATGGTCCTGGTCAATCGATTTCTCTTGATAGACTTTATTATACAATATCATCTGTTAAAAGATTGGAGATATCTATGGCATCAAAAGAAATGATTATTGATGTTATTGATCGATTCCTTGGTTTGGAGAATCTTGATATATTCTTTGATGATGGTGATCTTGATGACGATTCTATGACTATTTATAAAGGTATCTCAAATGAATGGTTAATCCAACATACGCATCGTCTCAAATCACATGATCTTACTTGTCGACATTCGAGTGAATTCTATCCATCGATGTACTTATCGTTTGGTGATCGACGAAAAGAAAATTTCGATCAAGATTAAGAACGTCATTTTTCTTTTGTTGTTTATGAAAGATTAAAGAAGAAAATAAATTTTCATCTAAAATACTGAATATTTAACTGAAAAATAATCCCACTCAAGATGAAAAATAGTTTGGATTTCATGCATGCCTAGGACTGAACCGCATTGATAAATGCGATTGTCTATCTGTGACTTCGATACTTCTCATCGAACAAAAATCACTGACGAGGGAACATTCCCAAGTGTCACATCGCTTTTGAGTCGAGAGTATGGGCATTATGTAGGCCCTAATGAGCTGTGAATTCTCTGAAAAGAGTTCGTGCCGCTAGCTTCTTGCTGCTGAGATACAACATGTTTACTATATGTTTCGGAAAAAGCCGTGGTCCCCCTCAGGAACATCAGGAAAAGTGAGTTTTGAGTTTCCACCTGAAACTTTGCATATAAATAGGCCTCAGTGAGAATAGTTTATTGTGAAGGTTTTAGATTTTTTGGTTGCTCCTAGTCTGAGATAAGAACATCGGATCTGTCGGTGCATAGAAGCAATTTTAAGATAACTGTATTTTAGGATAGAAACAGTGAAAAGAGCTGAAACTTTCACAATAAACTATTCTCATTGAGACTTATATCTATGCAAAGTTTGAAGTCGAAATTCGAAATTCAGTTTTTCAATTGTCCCTGAGGGGGACTACAGCTCTTTTTTCTTAAACATACAGTAAAAAGGCAGTATCTCAGCAATAATAAGCTAGCGGCACGAACTTTTTTCATAGAATTCATAGATCGTTAGGATCTACATAGTGCGCGTATGCTCGACTTAAAAGCGATGTGACACTTGGGAATGTTCCCTCGTGAGTGTAAACTTACGATACAAACACTTCCCTTTGAGAGACAAAAAAAAAACACTAAATGAAGTTATGTATTACCATATTGTTGATTAATATTATTGTTTTTATTACCTTAGAAATTCAAGTCAACAAATTTCATATACCGATGGATTTTAAGATGATCATCTAGAGTAACTTACTTCCATAAGAGATATTTATTGACGATGAGATAAACAAGTTTTCAATTTAGAATGTTAAAAACCACACAACTAAATCATTTAATGAATATATATAAAATGTAGTAAAATTAGTTTTATTTATTAAAAAGGGACAAACATTTTAGAACAAAAAACTTCATTAACAATAAATTTTACCACCACAAATACACTTTATCATCGTACATATCACGTTTTACTCTCGTTAAATAGACATCGAATAGTTTTTCTAATCCAATAAAGTTCTTCAATATATCAAATTCTTCATCAGACATATGTTTGATACATAATGAAAATAAATTTTGTGTATTATAATTATCTTTCGAAAATAAAAGCGATAAAACTGGTTTAATATTATCATTCGAAATTCGCATTGTAAAATATTGTAATCGAGGAAATAAATTAATAAAAAATTTTATTATTTCCAATGTACAGTCTAACATAATAATCATTTGTATAATATTATTTGTTTTGGATAATAATTGATATGTTTCACTATTTTCAATTGATATTAAATCTGAATATTCAAGTGATACAAGATCAATTTGGAAGATATGAATATTAGGTGATAAAAGTAATAGTTCAATTATTTCTATAAAACTATTAGAGTAGCTATCAATAACTAGCTTCGTAAGTTGTTTCAATGGAATAATATTGTTAAAACTAGTTAAGAGAAAGTTTTGATTTTGTTTTTCATAACAATATAATATAGTAAGTTCAGTTGCATTTGGAAAATCATATTTACAATTAATTATATCTTCGTACTCTTCAATTTTAACAAATTGAACTGAATTTATTTGATGTTTTGGACGTGATGAATACATTTTCATATTACTTCCATCATAAATTGTGTAAGATTTTCTTCTAGAAAAATTTTAAAAAAGTAGATTTAAACAAACAAATCTTATTTATACCTGTATGGATTTATTGAATAAAAGATAAAACGCTCAAGACAATCATAATAAGTTTGATATTCGAAAAACCAACCTCGATCAAACCAAAATCGAGACTGAAATCGATCGAGTAGATAAGTATAATCGTAAATACTTTCATTCCAGTCTGCAGCATATAAAATCACAATATCAAAGATTCGTAAATGACGCAAATGAAATAAAATCAGTCGTTGTAATCGATTTTCATCTAAGTATGTTAAATCATATTTTGATGAAATATATAAAACTTCAATTTGATTAAATAAATTTTTTATTATTAATTCAAAATCATTGAAATTCATGTTGCTTATATTTAAATCAACATGTTTTAAACGTTTCAAATGAATTGAATATTGTTCTTGGTATTTTTCAGAAAGTTGATTTGAAAGATGAATTGATAAACGATGAAGTTGAGGAACATATGATAAAAGACCATTCAATTCATTAACTCGTAAAATATTCGTAATAATAAGATATTCAATAGGACTAAATTCAGTAGTTGTAATAGGTAATGGAATAAGGTTAAAAGGTTCATTCAATGATAATTTACAATATTTTAGTACAGGTATACAAAATATTTGACGATAAATAATGTTTTTATTTGTAACATTATCTATACAATCGATGACTAATGAATATAGACATGGTAAAGAAACTAAATGAATAAGAAGTTCATTGAGATAATCTGATTTGATATCATGAATAAGAAGATTTTCAAGTTGAATAAATTTTGATAGAATAGAAGATGATGAAAAAATATAATCGGTTATAAATGGATTTGATAAATCAAATGATTTAATTCGATGTTTATTGGACATTATAATTTGCGTGTAAAAGCGTTTAAACATTGGTTTTGACATTAATGAAAGTTTGATGTTTATCGGTTGATTTGAATTAATTACAAGATTTTGAAATCTTATATTGAGATTGGAAAATATTTCATAGACTTGAACAAAATCCAACAAATCGAATATTTCATAAATGATTTCATTCGAAAGATGTTCAAAACGAGTAATAGAATCTCTTAATGAAATAAAAACAAGAAAAAAAAATATTTAAATTTTCGAAAAGAGAAAAATGAGATGATTTTTTATTTAAACTAACCTATTTAAATCGACTGTTTTGTTAAAAAAAGAAAAAAAGTATATCTAGTAAATGTAACAATAACAAATATATGACTCTTACTTTCTCCTTCTAGTTTTATTTCTTCCATTGAAGTCAATGGAAAAAGTTTCTTTAACACTAAAGTAAAGTTTGATGATTTTGATCTATGAACTTATAGTATGCGGAGCAAACAAAAAAAAACAAAGTATAAATATTATTTATACCAATAATTGAAGCCTCCGGATTGGACGCATCGTCTGACCTTTTGTCCGCTTGCAAGTGTGGTGACCGCTGCATTATCATTTCTAACTTTTCTCTCCTATATAAGCGTGTATTGGATGTCAGATACAACATTTTCAGAATATGAATTCCATTCGACTAAAGATATTATGCTTACTTATTCTATAAGAGAAATGTCGAATGATAAAATGAACATTTTAAAATTCTCATCGTTATGTATAGAACATTTAATTTATTTGAAAAATAGTCAAGGGATAAAATTGTTCTTTTTCTCCATCGAAAATAATCGCTAATGGATTGATCTACAAAAAGTCACTCGGAGTTAGAAAAGAAGAAGACTTCTTCTTTTCTTTGAAAATAAATCGACATTTTTTTTGAGAAACACTAAGTAAAAGAAAAAAGTTACTTTCTTGCTTTATATATGCAGTTATTTAACCAATTTTTTATTGTTTTTTTTTTTATTTGTCATAAATTCGTCTCAGAAAAATCCAAACGAATACTCATAGCAGATTCTCGTCTCATGGAGACAAATTTAGTTAAATGTTCTTGAAAATGAGGAATCGAGTTTGTTCATACGTTAAGCCAGTTTATTTGAGATTTAATTTTTTCTATAATAAATCACATATACCATAAAATACTATTCACTCAGTGACTGATTTTCGAAGAATAAATAGAAACTTATTATGTTGCACAGTAAGAAAATTGTGTGAAAAAAGAAAATGGAACGCTTCACGATTACACCACTCATTCTTGCGCAGGGAAGCATGCTAATCTTCTCTGTATGGTTCCAATTCTAGTGGTACACAGATGCATTCGAATAGAATCGAAATGCACCTGGCCGATAATCATACTTGTGTTTCCATGTTATATATTGAATCACGAACAAATTAGAAAAAAAGCGGTGAATGGCCAACCATGCTCTTGCGAAATTTGTTAGCGTCGCTTCTTTTTGCTTTCTGTTTACTTCGACCTTTATGTAGAATAAGAATACAAGACAATTACGAAAGCCTTATGTCTCTATAAATACTTCATCAATTGAAATTACAACATCATGTGGCGTCTATGAAATTTCGTAAAAAAATCCAGAGAGTTGAAAAATAAAAAAGTTCATTGAAATGATGAAACAGATAAAAAATTGATGTATTTGAGATCCTTTAATTAACACATTCACCACGATGGGGTCCACCGGTGGACCCCACTATATTTTAACAAGAAACTTAATAGAAAAACGCCTTCTTTTCTTTTATTCTTAGGCGGAAGGTTACACATAATGTGCGATCTGCTTTGCCTTCACTATTTTCAAAATCATTTGTTACATAGCATAATGCTTCTCGTTAAAACAATCAAGACAAAAAAATTTGTTACAATCAGAGCAGAAAGTTTTTATTCTCTTTGTTGTTGAATGACACGCTTCTCTTGATTGTTGTTCCCTGTTTTTCTCGTAACAACCAACACAGCGTCTTCGGACATCGCGATCAGATCCTTTCTTTTCTTCAAGCTTGTGATCAGCTAGTTTGCGCTTCGAATGAGTTGCTGATTGTTGTCTTGGACCAGGTTTCAGCTTCTCGGTTGGCATGCCAAGCAGTAAAGACCGGACAAGACTTTCACGAAAGTGCAGAATGGTCACTTTGCTTTCCGTGTAGTTTTCCTTGTATATCAAATAGCTATTTACTACTGCTGTCCCAAAAACTAATTCAAATGCCACTTTGTGGTACTATTTTATTGACTTCCTGAGACACGTGTAATATGCTGATAGTTGATCTGATAAATCAGTGCCTTGTCTTCCTTCGTTGTAATCTAATACAACTTGGGGCTTCATGATGCGCTCATTTTTATAATTTGTTTTTCCACTGTCTACCACACTTGCTGAATGTGATGGTCTTGTAGATATCATCAAGACATCTTGTTTATCTTTCCACATGATCAGTTTTATTCCGTCTTTATTCTGGAGCCCATAAACTTCACCACGACTAAGCTCCTTTTGAAGAACTGCCCTTCCAGATCCAACACGATTCCTTCTTAGTGTTCCAATAAAATATGCATCATGTTCCAACAGATATTTCGCGAGAGAAATATTCGTAAAGTAGTTGTCGGCTACTACGGTTCTATAACATCCATCCAGATCTTCCAATAAGTTCATTACTCCTGCTTGAGCATGTCCAGCACCTGCCATCGATTCTTGCTCACCAGTATAGATTACATAATTCCAAGTGTATCCATTGGTAGCCGCTAATTTGTACATCTTTATACCGTACTTGTGCGCTTTACCAGGTACATATTGCCTGAATAAAAGCCTGCCTCGCCATGGTATCATAATTTCGTCAATATTAATAACTGAGCCAGGCATATATACTGATGAAAACCTCTCTTTCAGTAAATCGGAGAGTGGTTTCAATTTGAACAGCCTGTCTTGGTTCGAATTCTTGTTATTGTTGTTCGAAAAATGCCAAAACTTGAGGAGTAATTCGAACCTCTCTCTCGGCATAGCGCTCCGAATAATCTCCAACCCGTACAACTGACTGCTGCTCCAGTAATGGTTCTGCTGCCGCATATGTACTAACCCCATCTCGATAATGATCCCAAAGAACTTGAGCATTTCTCCATGAGTGGTTGGTTTCCATTCACGATATTTGGACCGTCTGCTAATCTCATGGGCTTGTAAATATTGCTCCGCATATCGATTAGTCTCACGAACCATAAGATCGATAATTTCGTCTGTGATGAAATGTCGGTAACAATCGATAGGATTGACTATATTATCCTTCGAAGCAGAAGTTACTTCTTCGACGAGTCCATGATCTTCCATAAATTCTGCATCCGATTCCGATTCTATTTCGTTCCAGACGTTTGAACCCACCTCGTTATCAGACATTTCTTCGTCGGAGCTTCCAGATTCAAGGTGCATTCTATCCAGATCATCATCCAAAAAACTTAGTTCACTAAGTGAGCTAGCGCTTTCTTCTGTATCAACTTCTTCGAACGACATGTGAACTATTTCGAAATTTCGGCTGCTTTTATATATAGAAGGACAGAGAGAAGAGTAAGGAAGAAAAAACTGGAAATTTCCTTCTCTTATCTTACGTATACTATGTATAAAACATAAAAGAATGAAAAAATAACTTAAGGGATTTTTCGTATGATCGCAAAAAAATGACTCATTATGCGATAATACAAAGAAGAGAACAATGAATAATTGGTAGAAGATAATGAAAAGGTCACTAAGTGCATTTATTAGAAGTTAACTTTTGACAGAAATGGATATTTCGAAGAATTTTCCAAGAACACTGAATCGTGGTGAATGTGTTAAAAAAGAGATTTTCATCAAATTAATTTCATAAATTTCATTAACGGACCTCAAATACATCAATGCTTGTGTTCGTTTCATCATTTAAGGTGCCATTTTTTTTTTCATCTTTGATGATATACAATTCATGAAAGTCATGAAATGTTTTTGATTTTTAGAGTCCATGGTGATTATACAAAAAATAAAGCAATTTCTAGTGGAAAAGCTTCTTCATTCGTGGGCTGTTGCAATATTTTTATTTCACGTATATCTTAGCTTGGGTATGTGACAAAATCTTGAATTCTTTTCCAAAAGATGCTTCGTCAAAAGGTCTGTAAAAACTATTTGATTGAATTCCTTTCTAACTGTGCTATAGAACATCTGGCTGATTTCCGTGAATAATTTTTCGTTTGACTAAGATTTGATATGTTTCATCGAAGTCCTAATGGGTTCGATTTCTAAAAAGATTTAATAGTGATAGTTAAGTGCGCGTAGCAACTGAATTGTGATGCAGTTCCATGGAATTTCGCCGATGTCAATGAAACTTCATGCAGTTTGATGAAATTATGATTAATTTTGTTTTTTTTACATCGAGACCACACGCAATTTCAACTTTTTTCAAAATCAAATTTAAGCAAAAGTTCGGCAAAGTTTGACGAAATAACGAGCTACATTACGGCTCGTTCATCGAAATTTGATCAAAGTAGAACACATGAATATTGAATAAAAGAATAAATCAAAATTGTAAAATTTTCAGAGTTGAAGTTTTTCTTGGAAGGAATGGTGGTCATATGGATTGCCTCTTGAAAATTAATTTTAAGACCAAACATGTTGTTTTATGTGGTTCGGTTTGTTCGCTAACCCAAAATTTCATCATTCTCTTCCTCTATCTACAACTCGACTATGACGTTAAAAACGGAAGAATATGAGTCATTTACAAGTAGACATGTTAACCGCCGATTTTTCGCCGTCGCCGCCGAAAATGTGTCATCGGTGGAAATTTTTCCGCCGCCGCCGCCGCCGCCGACTAGATTTTGCATGAGTCGTCTTTTTTGCGAGAAAACATATGATACTCTCGTGTATAACGGATTTTCTACCTGTAGCAGCAGTTTTAGTATTTTCTAAGAAGTCTTAACATACGAAGAAGTTTCTGCTTCTCTATTTTACTCGAGAGTATAAGTGTTCCATATG